TTTTGGTCAAGTTGCCGTGAAAATGTACTATCTCAATTTGATCTGCCATCTTTCGATCGCCGGCTGTTATCTACCTTTGTTGATAGTCGAAGAAGGCTGATTTGGTCCAGCAAGGGTAAAATAGTGACGTGGAGAAGTCGGCCATTCGGTGGAATCGTGGTCGTATTGAACCTTTGCGCGGCTTGCCGTTCTTTGTGAGACCTGAAATGTTGGACATCAGGATTCTGGGTAGGGGGCATGGGAATAACTCCACCAATGAGGTAGGAAGTGTGTGTTTCAGTCAATTGGTCTTCACGAAGTCAAACCTGGCCACCAGGGACGAGGTGGGTAGGTGATCTCTCTGTGACGAGATTTATATCCTGTACTTCTTGTTAGAGCCTTTGGTTTCTTATCATATGTGTATAAGGGAATAAGGGAGAGCCCACCTTGGTTACACGCCTACTATCAATTAGGCCGGTGGAGTATCCGCCGAAGAGGACATGGCAAAGTCCTGCCTCTCGTATAATCGTAGAATGTGGGTAAGTTGACTTGCTGCAGTGTTTACTTGTATGTAGTCAAATGGTAGAGGTTCCATCTTGAACGTTATTAAAAATAAGGAAAAACAAGAAATTATAAGTGAGAGAAGAGAGAGAGGAGTGTGAGAGAAGAGAGAGCAGAGTATCCACGTGATGAACTCATTTCTGAAGTTAACAGAAGGTCTGAGCAGCGAGGAAGATATTTCTTTCTTACCTAAGTGTCACCTCACTTCTAGCGACCCTGTATAGTGAGAGAAGTTGAGAAAATCTGCAACTAGAACTTGGCTGTTATTAGCACATACTCTTCGCTTCTCGTTTGCCGTTAACTTACCTGTCTTTTCACCAGGTTATACAAATATAAATAGCTCAGGGCTCTTGAGGCGTCAATTTTGATAGGCCTCGATATCTGAATATAAAGAGGGGAAGATGGGTATCTGGGAACCCATCACAGTGAATGAGAGTAGCTATCCCTGGATGCTACAGATGAAGGATAAGAGATGTCGAAGGAAGAAGAAAGTGAAGGAAAAGAAATACAAGCAAACGCAGGTCTAAGGAATCAGACAATCATAAAGCAGTCCATGTCCAACAAAGTCTACAACTCAACTGTTCTTGGCCTTTCTTCCTATGCCCCCCCCCCTCCTTTGGTCTCTCTGGAAATCCTGGATTTTTCAACACATAATGGGTCCTTGGCAATATTGCATAGTATTTTATAGATATGTTTTAAACTATATCTGTGGCCGAGGACTGCTATGGGCCGTTATACTTCAAACGAAGTGGTGAATACGTGTCCTAATGTATCGCTATAATAACAGGTTCTAGAAGTTTCAATGCATCCAGAGATTCCTATACTTAGAGTACTTGTTACCTAGACTTGACCCAAATATCTAGAGCACCCAGGATTTAAGCAGTATGCAAGCGTAATTCTTCTTTCAAAGAAAACAGGATATCTTGTTCGCCACACCCCTTATGTTGAGCAACTCTTGTCCACTTGCTCCAAACGTCCAAATTTATATCCTAACAAGCCTGGCTGAAATACACAGAAGAATCCTCAACTATAAGATGTTGATGTAGATCCACATTGACAAGTGGAGTGTCGATTCTTGAAGGAAAGGATCCACCTCCAATTGTAATGCTAACGTCTAAAGTGTATGAAGGCACCTAGCTATTCATGTTTAGTTGAGAAATAATGTCAACGGCAATTAGATGGTATGTAAGACTGCAATCTACCCGGGAATACGCACTGGTGCACTTGTAGCGTATTCTCATTTTGGTCCTATAGTTAGCGGTGCCCTAATGCCTTAATGCCTTGTTTATGCCTAGCATTGGTGGCTCCAACAATTTTTAACAAGCTACCGAGGTAGACTTAAAATAAAAATCCTTCACAAGGTGCCGATTTCCCCGGGGTCTGCCAAGTGGCAAAGCCCGGTAGTGAGGCACGTCGGAAAGGAACATCCGTACCTCGGGGTTTGCCAATGGACCAATCAGAGACCGGTATATATAAGCCCTTTAGATGAGTCAGCCGCCCCACATGGGCCGATTGAATTTCCCTTTGGTTCCGCCGGCCTTCGAGATGTCAACTTGTTCAATCTCCTTAAATTCACGGGGATCTTTTTGTTGGTTTCTTCTTTCTTTTCTCATATTTTTGGCTCAATTCACCATGGAGGCTCTTTTGCAGCAGTCTCGCACTATGTGCCCTTTCCTCAAGCGCACATCCCCCACTACCCTCCGTACTCTGTCAACCGCTACTCGTCCTAGCACCAGCCCGGGAGGTGGAACCATGTCCAACCTGCAGGTTCTGGGTCGTCGCTGTCCAGTCATGAGCAAGGCTCTGGCTGTTCAGAGTGCCCGTCTTAGTAGCACCAAGCGCTTCGCCTCGCGCGCCGCCGGAGTCGCTGCATTCCAGCCGATGCGGGTTCCGACTGCCAAGCGGGCATTGCACACCACCGGTGGACACCCCGCCAGTCTCGCCTCTGGCGGATACGAGAAAACCGAGCGAGGTAAGATTAAGTTTTTGAGACTCGAACTTTGAGCTGTTTCTAATTTGACTAAAGGAAACCCTAACTTGGCCAATCCGCTCCGCGCGTCCTCTGCCGCCCCCGGCCATGCCGGCGCTGCGGTCCGCGGTCCCCGCCCTGAAGCCCCAACCAACGAAAAGTTCAACTACGATGGTTTCTACAACGTGGAATTGGAGAAGAAGCACAAGGACAAGTCCTATCGCTACTTTAACAACATCAACCGTCTCGCCAAAGAATTCCCTCGGGCCCACACTGCCTCTGCCGAGGAGCGCGTGACTGTCTGGTGCTCAAATGACTACCTTGGCATGGGCCGTAACCCCCAGGTCTTGGACTCCATGCACAAGACTTTGGACACCTACGGAGCCGGTGCAGGCGGCACTCGTAACATCTCAGGTCATAACCAGCATGCTGTCGCCCTGGAGGATACGCTCGCCAAGTTGCATGGAAAGGAGGCCGCATTGGTCTTCAGCTCCTGCTATGTGGCTAACGATGCGACTCTGGCAACACTGGGTAGTAAGATGCCCGATTGTGTTATCCTCTCGGACAGCCTCAACCACGCCTCGATGATCCAGGGTATTCGCCACTCTGGCGCGAAGAAGATGGTCTTCAAGCACAACGATATGGAAGACCTTGAAGCCAAATTGGCCTCATTGCCACTTGGTACCCCCAAGATTATTGCCTTTGAATCAGTCTACAGTATGTGCGGATCAATTGCGCCCATTGAAAAGATCTGTGATCTCTCCGATAAATACGGTGCCATCACTTTCTTGGATGAGGTCCACGCCGTAGGAATGTACGGCCCACACGGAGCTGGCGTTGCTGAGCATCTTGATTACGATGCGTACGCATCGCAGGATACAGCTTCCCCTCAAAGCACCAAGGGCACAGTCCAGGACCGAATTGACATTATCACCGGTACCTTGGGCAAGGCCTACGGCTGTGTCGGTGGATATATTGCAGGCTCGGCAGCCATGGTTGACACCATCCGCTCCCTTGCTCCCGGATTCATCTTTACCACTTCGCTCCCACCAGCGACCATGGCTGGTGCGGATGCCGCCATCCAGTACCAGTCCCAGCAACCCCGGGACCGAGTCCTCCAGCAACTCCACACCCGTGCAGTCAAGACCGCCCTCAGTGATTTGGATATCCCTGTCATCCCCAACCCATCACACATCGTCCCCCTCCTGGTCGGCGATGCCGAGCTGGCCAAGAAGGCTTCCGACAAACTTCTCGAGGAGCACGGCATCTACGTGCAGGCCATCAACTACCCCACCGTTCCCCGCGGTGAGGAGCGTCTGCGCATCACCCCCACCCCAGGCCATGTGAAGCCCCTGCGCGAGCACCTCGTGCAGGCCGTGCAGTCCGTTTGGAACGAACTAGGCCTCAAGCGCACCAGCGATTGGAAGAGCCAGGGCGGTTTCGTTGGCGTTGGCGTCGAAGGCGCCGAGGCCGCTAACCTGCCCATCTGGAAGGACTCCCAGCTGGGTCTGCAGGCCGGCGAGACCCTCGAGCGCGCTGTTGCTCGTGAGTTCAACGACGCAACTGCCCAGGCCACTGTGCCCCTGAAGGCTGCTACCCCTCTGACCGAGAAGGCTTACTCGGGAATGAACTCCACCGCTGGTGTTGTTGCCTAAAGCAGACGAGTCCCATCATCTACGCTTCTCGGTTTTTGGGGTGATTCTGCCTGCATTATTCCCGTCCATTCATTTTCTACATAATATTCTGTCGTACGGACATAACTTAACATATGCATCCGTCTTCAATCATACCACCCCACATCTTCATGTCATCTGTCTGCCTTTGTTTAACGATGTAGCCATTTTCCGGCTTGATCGGCCGTGAATTTCGCTTTTGTTTGTTGATTATGTCGTTGGTTTGTTTAGCAAGACCAAGACTAATGTCGGATATACTACTTGTATCTATATCGATTGAGTGTCATTTATTGAGCTCAGGTGGACCAAGTGGGAATGAACAGTGTTGAAGTGGCATTTTGCTCTCATTTCATCTAAGTAGGCTTCGGCTTTTTGTAGTATCTAAGTGCTTATTAGCAGGAAATGTTCTACCGTTGGTGGATTTTTCCTAATTCACATTTAGGGCACTGATATATACATCCCCCTTTGGGTCTGAACTGCCTCCACTTTAGTTGCAAAGAAGCTATCTCAACTGGTATACCAATTGAAATTACGACTACATAAAACTCTAGATGAATAACTCGGCGAATCAATTTAGCTCTTACTGTACCAAGATATGTACTAAACGTAACTTACTCTAGCAACTCCCGAGGTTATACAAATCCCAACCATCGAAAGGGAGGCCCAGGTTTACACAAAACCAAAATCGAATCAAAGAAACAACCAAGTAAATTCCTTTGGCTATGTAACAATGTCCCATTGATATAGAAACAGATAAAAGTAACAATTTTGAAACACAAAAAGCGCCATATATTCCAAGTGGGCCTAACAACTCAACCCTACTTCCGACCACCACGACTAACTTTAGGGAACTCAACGGGAAGTCGCAAGCGAGCAACACGGCGCGCTGCCGCCTCCGCACGTCCACCCTTAATATTCCACTTCGCGAACTCAGTCTCACGAGGCTTATCAATCCGACAGCCAAGCTCACGGAAGTACTGGTGAATAGTATTCGGGTCAAGACGCAAATCATCACGCAGATCAGAAGGATCCGTCGCAAGCTCATTGGGCGCATTACCACCAAGCGAGCTAGATCCACCATCACGCGCGGGCTGGGGCGGGATATGCAGCGAAAGCGCACAGATGGTAGTCTGCAGGAGGGTGAAGTCATTCTTCGAGACGAAGCCGCCGCTAGGCGCGAAACGACGACGAACAGCATCGATAACAGACTCCGGAAGCAGGTCTGTGGATTCGACAACCGCAGCGCCGGGCTTGGGCTTGACCACAGCGGTGCCGGTGGTGTTTGAGAGGATGCGACGGAGGTCTTCGCGGGGTGGGAGACGTTTGCTGCCGGGGCCACCGCCCTTGGCGTTTGCGCCTGCATTTTTGAGACAGCGGCCGAACTCGATGAGAAGCTGAATGAAGCGGAGTACTTGGAGGTGGGTTGTGTTGTCTGAGTTGACTACTGCGCCGACGCGGTTCGAGACGTAGCGTGAGACGGTTGTCACGCCCAGACCGGCTTCCACTTGGGATTTCCACTCGTCCACGCCGTTGAGTTGGCTGAGAGTTGTGTGGCTGCCGGGCACGAGGGTCTCGATTGTGTAGACGTCGGAGGGGTGCGAGACGGCGAGGTTGGGCGTTGGGAGGGGCTTGGCGGCTTGCACTTCGGCTTGCATGGCGAGGGCCTTGGCGAGGCCGGAGGCTGTGTCGGTGGGCATCGAGGAGATGAGGGCTGCGCCGGCTGTGGGGACGGCGCCGGCGGGGGCGTTGGAGAGCTGGGCGTTCTCGGCCATGGATTGCACGGCCTTGCGGGATTGTTTGGTTCCGAAGGTGTTGGTGAGGGCTGTGCGTTGGGCGCGCATGGTGTTCTGGTGATGCTTGTCAGTTGGATGGTCATGTAGGGGATTGCGGGTGGGAGGATGTACCATCTCTTCATCTGAGTCTTCCTCGGACTTGCGGCTTCTCACTGCTCCTCGTAGTGTCGATCGTCGAACCTCCACGACCTTCCATGTCTTGCGCTCTGGGTCGATGACTGCGACGTAGTGCTTCACTTGTGAGTCGGTATCGTCTCCTGTACCTTCACGGCCGACAAAGTCCAGCTTGGCGTGTTCCGAGGACTGGAGGAGCATCTCCGAAGAGACAATGCCCGGGTTCCGAGTCAATGCCGCAGACTTGAAGACATTAGGGCGGCTTTTGATATATGGGTCCCAGTGGAGGGACTTCGAGCTCTGAAGACCGGGTGTGTCGGCTATAACGCAGAAATTTGATTAGAGATGGTTTGCAGCCTGGATAAAAAGCCTTCAACTCACCAATTACCGGTGCCAGCTCGCTCTTATCTTCAATCACGCTGGCGGCCAGCGGGGGCAGCTGGTGCAGCGCAGGCTTTTTGCTTGGACGGTCATTGTCTGCTGAGCGCTTGCGCTTCTGATCTGTTTTATTGGACGGCATTATGGCGTTAAGGAGGAGATACAAAAGATTGTAGCTCTTGAGAATCGGCTTCAGCGCGGTGAAATAAAATGTCTGGACTTGTCGGGCAGAAAATTTTACGAGCGGAGACTAGGTAGGCGGTGAGTCTACGGGCTTTCCGCACAAAGGAAAATTGACGTACATCGAACGTCAAGCTGATCTCAAAAGGCGATATACAGAAAAAGCTATGGATATAGTCGTTCAGGTGGTAGCTGTGCTCCGGTTTACAGATTTACATTTACAATGAATAAAAAATGTTGCACTCATCAAGTCATCGATTCATCTGCAGTAGCTAAACCAAGACCTCCGAGTTATTCCATGGATTTTTGATAAACTCCCGGAAGAAACCTCTCCACAACTTTTGACCAGCCCGAAGGAAGGCCGTAAAGATAATGAGAATTGACCAGTCACCCCAATGCCGTGCTCAAAGACCGATGGTTTGCACCGATCCTCCAACATCCACCTAAACACAGGAGCCCCTCCGAGTAATAACCATGCAAGACATCAGATCGTGGACGTGAATGAATCCGAGGTGTTGAAATGTGGGTAGACTGTTGTTGTAAACAGCGGATTCCGTCATTCGATCTGCGATCTCTTCTGATGATAGGTCGGAAATCTTGTCCGTGCAGGTAACTCGTTTGAATGAGGGGCGTGTCACGAAGAAACGAAAGTCGCAACGTCGCGTCGTCAATTGTCGTGTTCAGCGTTTAAACATGAGCTCGGGCAAGGAGGGCTGAGATGGAGGGGGCGAGTAGTTTATTTGCTGATTTGAGAATTAGTATTTCCGTCGATTGGAAGCTCAGATGGCCTTTCGCAAGACCATTGGCGCACAATGGAGTCACTTACGATCTGGCACGCATCTTTCTGCGCTTGCGCTTGAGACGGCGAGTGCGCTTCTTTCTCCACTTAGCTCTCATCTTCAAACTGTTGACTGGTTAGTGCATTGCTCGTTAATATTTCAGCTTCTGGAGAGCTACTCACGATTTCGAGGATGAAACAGAGATAGTAGAAAGAAAGATGAAGTGGGCGGGTCCGAGACGCATTTAGGTACGGTGCGGCTGACTCATCCGCCCTCGCTTAGGCCCCACACGTGACAGCCCAAGCTTCCATCTGTGACGACACATGACTATGCCAGATTAGGAAATTCGATAGGGTTTCACTCGATATAGCTGTTGCAAACAGTTTGACAATAATTTATGTAACATATAAACTACAAGTGGAGATAGGATAATGATATTTCAATTGAAAATCCAGAAGAGCAATGCCATTACTATTTTATTGAATAGCATATCATGTATCATATAGCTCCAAAATAGAGCTAGTGAGCTTTTGATGCCATTGTTTCCGCTTGGGTATAACTAGCCATATGTTCATTAAACAAATATATCAAAAGCTTCATCACTCATAGAGTTTCGCAAAATCCGCCAGACGAGATCCACAAAAGTAAAATGAGAAAAGGCTCCTTATCCAACCGTATCTATCCAACCTGGGGATTTTCTCAGTACGTGTACCGATACGTGGGCGCCAAATCGCCGAGATATTCCTCTTCATCCTCAGGAATCGAAGCAGGGGCAACAGCGGCGCGATCACGCTGCTTGTTCTGAACCCACAGGGCTAGCATGTATACTGAGCATGCCAGAGCGGCGAGGCAAATGAACGAGAGGCAGATGATGTACCCGGTTCGGAAATCAGTGACGCCATCCTTTGTGACAAAAGAATAAGTCGCGATGATTCCACCGATATTGCCGAAACCAATCTGCCATGCGGTTCCCACGCTGCGTCGATGATGGCCACCCAGATTCATGGAGAACCAGCATACAATGACAGGCATGGCGCTATATGCACCACAGGTGACCAGGAAAAGGGCGCCATATTGCGCACTATTATTGGTATGGATTGTCATGAGCATGATAAATCCGATCAGGCAGATCGCCATTGGAATCAGGGTGAAAGTATATCGGTGTCGCAGTCGGTCAGAGCAGAAGGCGATTACCATCGAGAAGCCGAATGCCGCAGCCCAGGGGGGAATGGAGTATAGCTGGGTTTTGATCGCACTGTAGCCGTATGTCTGGATAATAGACGGCGCGAAGTATGCATAGCCTGTATCAGAGTTAGCGATAAATCGGAGGGTAATGGAAGAATGATGTGATGTGATTGACGTACTGTAAGCCGGGACAATCAAGCCGAAGTACATAAAGCCTCCGATAAAGACCTTGTCTGGGGAAAGTCAGCGCGCTGCAATTGAAAGAGGGATTCACCGGGCTATACTTACAGTCCTTGAACACACCCAGAACCTCACGCTTGCCCATGTGAACATGGCGAGCAGCCTTGCCGGCATCCTTGGCCAACTTGGCACGCATGTATGTGCGCTCTTCCTCGTTCAACCACTTCACATCCTCGGGGAAATCAGCAATGAAGAAGAACAGAATAATCGCGACCACACTGGTCAAAACGCCCTCGAGAATGAAAACCCAGCGCCAGCCACTGTAGCCGCACATGCCATCCATCTTTGCGATTCCGCTAGCAAGCAGACCACCAAAGGCGCCGGCCAGGGAGGTGGAGCTGAAGAAGAAACTAAATCGCTTTTGAGCCTCGGAGCGCGTGTACCACATGCCCAATAGATAGAAACCTGACGATCGCAATTAGCACTTGGGTTAGGAGTTCTTGTTGGTATTTGCACTTACATCCAGGGAACATGCCGGTCTCAAAGACACCCAAAAAGAACCGAGTGGCCATTAGTCCACCCCAGTTCTGTACCAGACCCTGGAAGAGCAAGACCAAGCCAAACATGAACATGCATCCCGAAACTAAATTTGTATTAACAAGCTGCCCTCACCAAAATTGCGCTAGGTCGCACGGGGCGCACGGGGATCAAAACACTTACGCCAGACATGGGGCTTCAACTTCTTGAGCAAAATGTTTGACGGAATCTCGAAGATAATATATGGCACGAAGAAAATCGTGAGCGCGGTGTTGTATTTTGTTCCTTCGCGGATGTCCAAATCCTCCTTTAATCCGAGAATAGCGGCATTGCTAATATTAACTCTGTAGCACGATGATGTCAGATACAAGCAATGCTTGGTCATGCGATACAATGCTTACCGATCCAAAAACGCAAGCAAATACAAAATACACAGACAGGGCAGGATGTGCCAGTCGACCTTGGCCTGCAACTTGCGCGCCGTGGTAGATGTGAGAGGAGGCAGATCAAAGTCCGTAGAACTGGCCTGACTTTCGCCGTTGTCAATGATCTCTTTGGTATCGAGTTTTTCTGCGCGGGGAGAGTACGGTCAGCATGGAATTGTAGCAAGCATGCGCTGACGCAAGCTCAGTAAGCCCTAAAAAGGAAGAAAGAAATCCGGGGTAGATCTATAGGGTTGAACATACCTGGGACTCCCATCATGAGATACAAATTGCGCCAGAATACTGCGCACTTTGAAAGGACTATAATAGAGGGGGAAAAGGAAAAGAAAGGGAGAAAATTGGCTTTTTGGGGGTCAGATTCTCGCGGTTCGCCGATGCAGGGGTACTACCCCAGGATGTCGAGGCCCGATCTCGGCCTATTGGCCGATATGCATTCCGCGTTTTTATAAATTTTAATTTTTCACTATCTATTGTTTATTTATTTATGATCGGCATATGCATTCAAGATTTTATCTTAGAAATTCTTGATTTTATATTACCATATCTAGTTAACGGAGTACTCCGAGTCATAATATTCCCCGCAAAATATAAATGAGTCAGGGTTTTTCGGGCCGACTAAATATCCACTCGGCCATTAGTGCGGGGAGTGTATCTCTCCCGAGGCTATTAGAGCTGGCATACTTAATGTAATCATGATTGGGCCTAGATTTAGTTATTTTATTGCTCCATTTATAAAACTTTGATCAAATTTGCATATTCATTATAGCTGAATTAGCTGAACAGAAATATATATATATATATTAACCCTTCCACATAATCATGACTCCTTAGCCCACTGGCTACCGCTCCACAAACCTCCGGTGGTCCATAGCCAATAGTCCCGACCTTTGATCAGCCACACCAAGAGACTGGGCAACTGGAACCCCATAGCGGCACCCACACCCTTACTCTTTCCAATTGGCACAAGCTGAGTCTCACGAGTGTCCTCCTTGAATACACGATCGGCGCCCACAGCACTTTCATCATCCCCTTCAGCAATAAGCAAATCCCGTTTAATATTCGAACACAAAGTGGGCACTGTATTCAAGATATTGTGTACAGCCGGACGTGCATGCGATCCCACATCACCAATCGCATAGACCCGCGGACCGGCATTATCCACCCGTAGCGTAGATACGTTAGTCTCTACGCAGCCACTAGCCGTCAACAGGGACTTGTGCATAAAGCCGGTATTAGGCGTTGCTCCGGTAGCCGGGATATAAAGGTCGGCTTCGAGTGTTTTGCCGTCTTCCAAGGTCACCGTCGCATTGCTCGTTAGAGCACTCTCAGTCCCTGCAGCAGCCGGTGAGACAGTTACAACGCGTGAACCCTTGATCACCGTCACACCAACCTGCGAAAGGAATTCCTCCGCTTTCTTCGCAATCGCGGGTCGCAAGACCGGAAGGATCTTCGAGCCTGTCACTAGCGTGATAGGGACTTTGGGATTCTCTAGTTTAGAGCTGAACCAGCCAGCTCGACCATTGAGATATTCGCCGAGTTCGCCAGCTGTCTCGATACCGGTTGGGCCTCCGCCTGCGATGACGATGTGTTTGGCGCTGGGGAGAGCTGCGCGGAAGATATTCCAGGTCGCGCGCAGGGACTCAGAGTCGCCGTTTAGTCCTAGTAGGGGCGACGGGGTGGATGTGCCGGTGGCGACGATAAGCGCATAGTATGCGATCTTCTCGGTATTGCCGTCTTTAAGGCTCACAGTGACATGACGATCGGTGTGGTGGAGTTCCGTCGCGGTGCCTTGGATGAAACGGAAGGTACTGCCTGGGTACTGCTCGAACTGTTGTGGTACGCCGACGAAGAGCTTCTCTTGAGGGAACATGTCATCCGAGATCAATGCGCGAGGACAGGCCGGGCGACATATGGCCTGCGACGAGGTGCTGACGAGGATGACCTGATAGCTTGCTTTGTTGGGCAGCTGAGGGATGACATGTTTGAGAAGATAGTGCGCCGTGGATATTCCCCCGTAGGAACCACCCAGGATGACAAGATCCTTCTTGCTAGAATCTTGAGCCATCGTTCCTAAGCAACGAGCTCACGAGTTATAGGAGACGGATGGTCTCAGACGCAGGAGATTTGAAACTAGAGGATTAGAGCAAAGGACGATGCGCATTACCTGTCCATCATTACCAATCCAAATCACTCCCACCAGGCTCCAGGGCTCTTACTTCTTCCACGGAGGTCTTTTTGGTACTTTTGCCAGAAGGTTTCGAGCTACACCATATCATGGCCCTGATAGGCTCAAACTATCCTTCAAATTGTCAGCTTGCTATGCTATCTATCATGACTTCTAATATAAAAAATTTCGAATGACAAAAAAGAGTGTGAAGCTGGTAAAACAATTCAAAAATTCTTCGACCTGGAAATCAAAACAGGGGCGGGACCTTGCATGCATCGTTTCTTACTGGTCTGGAATGGCGTGCAGGTCTTGGAGGCTGCTACAATTATGCGGTCTCTCAACTACAGAGTAAATAGTCAAAGTGTCTCTTCCTCGTCCTTTCTCTTTGTGAATAAGCATCACATCGCATTTCTCTCCGATCATCCTAAGTTGCATTCCATAGTGCTTATGGGGCTATCTAGACAACCTCTTTCCACTTCCCACCTTCAAGCCAATCACAAAGCAATTTATTCAGAACCCGACTACTCCGTATGCAGAGACATAATCACAAAATTGCAGTCACGTCTGTAATGTTATCAATGCGAAGTGTGGGGCTATTGAATCTTAACAGGGCTATCCATGTCTAGCGTTAAACCCGTGGACAAAGAAGACCGCAAAGAGGGAATCTCCAAGCCTTGATCCTGAACCCTGCACGCCAATTTGCTTCTTTTGCCAGTAATATGAATACCAATAATTAATACGACTTGAATAGTATGTACCTGTTACATTTTTCTGTAATTCACTGTATGATTTTGTAAAGATACTGTCTTTCAAACTGTAGCGTGCATACATGCATATGTGGATATTCTCGTGGTATGTATGTCAAAGGCTGCATCAGGGGCTCTGGTCATATACTCAATTGGTTTTGTTTGCTATTCTGAGTTCTTTACTTTCTCTCCGTTGCCATATTTTATGTCTGTGAAACAGATTTGGAGCTTTGTCTGCCATTTTTCCAATGATTTGACAGTGATCTAATCTTCCTCGAGTCTTCAACTCGCCGTTTCTTCTGCGGCTTCCCTTTTCACTACCACCATGCGCCCTAGAAGACTCATTGCTCAGACATCTAGTCGTCTATTGACTCGCGGTAGACTTTTTATATCATTTATTCTTTTCATATGGTTCCTCTTTTATCATCTTCCAGCTCCTCCTTCTACCCAAAACAATACCCGCGCAGACCGACCACCTCCAGAGCATCAAGTAGAGGACAAGGCACAATTTCTCTTCCGTTCTTTCTTTCGAAACAATCCGGCTATTGATTTTGAAAAACAGCTCTCGCGGGCCCTGCAGAGGATTGAAAAGACTGTATTGGCACAAAATCAGGAAAAAAACATAGCCGAAAATAGAATCTGGCAGATAGCGAAAGATGAAAAGCACCGGGGGGACGATTCGATAATATTTCAACATAAAAACAAGGAATGGGCATACACTGTAAGTACCTCCGGATACTACACAACTTACTCGACTTCCACTGAACACCACAAAGTTAGTCAATGATATCAAGGCCCTCGAGTTTGTGACCAACGAGCTATCCGCCATTTCTGAAATTGCAACCATATACAAATCCTACCCTCACAATGTCCTCCGAGCAGACTTCCTCAGATACCTCCTTCTCTGGTACTACGGAGGCTTCTACGCAGACATCGATGTCTTCCCCGCTCGGACCATAAAGACCTGTCCAGCACTAGAATCATTCTTCGCATCCCCACCGGACGAATACACCCAATACATCCATCCCGATGTATCGCTCGTTGTCGGAATCGAAGTCGACGAGCCGTACGCTTCACCACAGTTAATGCACGACTGGCACTGGACAAGAAGCTACGGACTAAGCCAGTATACCATGTATGCACCGCGACGTTTCAGCCCGCTCCTCCGTGAAACCATCGTGAGGGTCATAGCACATACCATGCAATACAACAATGGACGTATGGGCTTTTTCCCCAGTCTGGCATATGACGAGAAGGCTATTTTAGGAATTACGGGACCTGATGTCTTTACGGATGCAATTCTCGAGACGCTTTCTTCTTCGCTTCCTGAGACACATCCGTTCGTTGAAGAATCTGTCGATGCAGATAAGAATATAGGGGATCTCATCGATTCTGAAACTGGAGAGGTGCAGAAACGGGTAACGTGGGCGCCGTTCCATAGACTCCGTGATACTGTCTGCATCCAGGCTGGTGAGGCTGTCTCAAGGGAGTCCATGGGTGGACTGTGCGTGTTGCCAGTTAGTGTTTGGGGAAATGGACAGAGACATAGCGAGGCGGGTGGGTTTAATCATCCTAGTGCGTGTATCAATCATCGATTTGGGAGGACATGGAAGAAAGGGTGGTGGGAGTATATATTTGGGTGAAGATTTGCATCATTTGATTTGAATCTGATAGTCGAATATAGATCTTTGATAAAGGTTGAATAAGATAACCCCTAACCCCTTCCCCTTGCAATGAATTTATTTGCATTTGTTTCAATCTACTGCTGGACGATAATGGCTGAGATCAGGAAGTATGGACGAAGCAGTCCAGAACGAGTGTATTGGAAAGTGAAAACTATTGAGGAAGGGAGGAAAGAACCGTAAGAGCCCTTTACTACTACAAGAGAATTTCAAACAGCAAATCTTTCCAATCCGTGCTTGATCACTCCCAAGGAATTATTTATAGCACTGGCAACCTTCCTTCTCGGGGTTCTGGCAACGAGCCTGGTTGACAGAACAACCTCCGCAGAATCCACACGTATCAGGGGCATAGCAGTTCCCCTCTCCTATAACACAGCTCCCATGGTGACCCACACACTTGGTGCACGCGTTGGTATCTCGGCCCTCAAGATCTCTGGCCTAAAACGAACATGTTAAAAAACTACCGTTTCTGACAAGGGGGTTAATGGGAAATGTACCTGGACCATGCTTTGCTGTATGGTGTTAGTTACCGTGTACATGAGAGTTGAAAGGATCAAGGACTCACTGGCTCTCCGATAATGGTATCCTCGCCAAATTGGTAAACCTCGAGCTCGACGCCATTTGCGGCGAAAATGCCACTCTGTGCAGCCGATGCCTTGGCAATGAGAAGGGCGAGGACTGCGGTGCCTTGGAGGAATAGCCTCATTTTAGAAAGAATTTGATGGTCTTGAATTGAGGCTGAAGGGGTGTATTGGTCTTCGATGAAGTATGGAATTGGGAATGGACTTGTACGACTGAGATTGATGGCAACCTGGGTGTTCTTATATCTTGAAGTTACAATATGTTTGCTACCCTCTGGTGGAAAGTAAATATGCAATCGTTCAGCTTGGGGACCAGTAATGCAATCCTTCTCATGTGTTACGTATATACCTGCCTTGGCAATACTGAGACTCGAATTGCCATTTGTAGATACTAGTAGATACCAGTAGATACAAGAGCCTCAGATTCTGAAGTGGACGGACGGTATCTTGGGATCACCAACTAGTAAGCCTAACTCGGTACTCGGTAGGCTTCTTGCTTTTTCTGCATAGAATATTTTGTGCTTCATTGGCCATGCTCTACTTGGCACTCTAGGTGTTTCCTCTTTTGTCTGACTAAAGAATTTTGGTTTATCCTAAGTCTCCGTCCGAATTGGAATTGGGCCAGGTCTTGTGATGTAGGTTCCCTTTCCACCCCTTTCAACGATTGGCATCTGACCCGATGATCGCCGGTGTTGCTGGACCCAGTCGTTGGAAAAGCCATGCTTACGAGTGATCTGCAAAAAGAAAAAAGCAACGAACTCAAGCTCTAGGGCTGAGGATCTGACCCGATACCCCGAACTACATGCAGTAGTAGCGTTTGAACACGGACTGGCTCCAGACTGGCCATGTGGAGCCAATAAAATAGACAATGGATGTCTGCATATGCGGCTTAGTGAGGGAATTACGCAGAGAACTGTGCCGTTTATCCGTATGGAATTGACGGAGAGCCCAAAGGTAGTAGAGATTAACCCGCTGTTGTAGAGCCTTACCAAATAGTCTGATTTGCATCTAGCTCTCGAAGTACTTTTGATGCAACTTCCATTATGATCCTGGGTAAGCATCATTATATCGACTGGTGCTTACATCACTGACACGACACTTTCTAGTCAGGAGAGAGATGCCGGGATAGAGTTATGCAAGTAAATTGACCAAAGAATGAAGGAGAGCACTGAAATAATGTAACAACCAAATCAAGACCAAAAATATGTTACTCCACTGCGATGACCTCCATTTGTATATCCGTGCCACCCTCAGCTCGAATATTTTGAACTATAACAGTAGTTCGCGGTGGTGCAAACGGAAGCATCCGTTTATAGTGAGCCTCGAATTTGTATTTTCCACGAACGTATTCGGCAAAGTAAACCTGAAGGAAAGGTTTACACTTAGCTTCAAGGGATCCAAAAGCCATAGTTAGATCCTACCGTAGTTTTAATAATCCTGTCCAAACTAGAACCTGCCGCCTTCAGAATCGCCTCTATATTAAGGAAAATCTGTTCGAAAGAGGCAGTTTGTCCGATAACAAGGTCGCCACGAGGAAGAGCCCCTATCTGGGCTGCTACATATATCACCCCGTTGACTTTGAATGCCTGGGACTATACTGAGTGGTTAGATGGGCGAAGTAAGGATTGGAGAATTTCTCTTACGGAGCCGCTTGGGGCTGAAGAAAATTGCATTAGTGATAGGCAAAATCTAGCCATGGAGACTGTGAAAGGGCCTTACGTAGAGGAGCAGATGGAGTACGTATGCATTCAATGAGAGCTCTGTTGGGGTTGATGGTGTGATATTCCGGGGGATCATCGGCTTCTAAACTGGACTGCGCGCGCTCTCCAGATATGGGTTGAGTGGCCATTTTGAGACAAATGGAGAGAAAGCTGGAGTCCGGATGGTATGGAGTGTAAATAGTCTACTTTGCGGCTGATAATAAGAAGACAACGTTCACATATGGGGCGGACACAGCCGCTTTTTTGGGCAACGTGAGGGTGATGGGCGGGCCTATCAGGGTCTTGTGTTGCAACACGGGGGTGGCTTGGGAATTGGCCTTAGCTCCTTGGCCCCCCCGCAATATAGAGAGAGGGTCAAAGTGGCACTATAAATAGACCTTCGCTCGGGATAAGTGATATTAGGACCGTAACTTGAGAAGAGAGTATCTTATTGAAGCTAAGAAAGCATCAAACTGTATATTCGATGCAGATCGCACATTTAATTTGTGACCTCCAAGCTCCATTCTCAGTAAACGTCACCTCATGCCACAGGAAGCACCCAGGTTGTCACAGACTGACTCGGAATGCTACCACTCCACTGCTGGCCACTATTAGTAGACAATGTAACGTAAATATTATTACTGAATGTGTTTTCAATAACAACTGAGCGAGTCCCATCTGGATTCAGCGAAGCAACGGATTGCACACCTCCTCCATTGGAATACGTGTAACTCCCGGTACCACTGAGCACAATCGCACCCGGCGGCATGAACTTGCTGAACTGGGCCATCATATAGTATGCCGGGTTGAAAGTATATCCGCCGTTAGAAATGGTCACCAGACCTCGACAGTTTGCGCAGCCGCCACTTGAAAGATGAGGACCATCTTGATCATTTGTGCCAAGTGTCCAGGCCGTGACGCCCGACGCCCAGTTTTGCAAAGGCCCCATGGTGAAATCGGCGGCCTGGTTCCATGATGCCGATGCAGGGGTCCAGCATTCTGTCATGTATTGCTTGATGCTGGGATTTGTTTCGTGGAACTTGGTGAGGACTGTCCAGTCTACATTGCTGGCATAACAGTGCCATGCAACCGCGTGGACATACTGGCCAGCCGCGTTGATGACGTTCTGAGGGTAGGATGGCACATCTGATATTTATACATTAGTAAATGGAATGCTCTCTCAGACTGGGCTCTCTAGTGCATACCGGTGTTGTGATCATATGCCCAGATATCGGTGTTCAGGCCGGCTTGAGCGAGAGCCGGACCAACGTGATTCTGGATCAACTGTGCCGACTCATAGTCAAATACATACATTGTAGGATAACCAGCTTGGCTGTTCAGAGGCTCGTTCTGGATGGTAATAGCATCGATGTGCGCCCCGAGATTCTGGTATGCCTGGATGTACTTGACAAAATACTGCGCAAAGGCACTTGCATACCCAGTACTCCCAGTGCCTCCACTAGTCAAGTAGCCATCGTTGAGGTTATTATCTTTCGTAGCGCCATCAATCACATGGTTTAGCTTCATCCACCCGGGGGCACTCCAAGGCGAACCAAGAATCTTCAAACTCGACTGAAGAGACTTCATCTTAGCCAGCATCGTAGCCATGGCATTTCCACGGTCGCCCAGGTTAAAACCAGACATTGATGGATCCGCATTATTCCCATTATCGTCATAGGTATACGACGGGTCACCAGACAGATCGGAAGCGCCAATCGTATGGCGCATCAAAGAAAATTTGGCACCAGCGCCGGTCATCAGCTCATTGAGCAATTGTTGCAGCGTGGAACCGGAGAGCGTGTTGAATGATGTGACCGTGGAATCGGTGACAGCGGCTCCAAAGCCCACGATTGTTTGTTTGTGCCCACTGGATGTATCATCAATGCTCAGCTTCCAGGTCGATTCGGAGCCTGGACTGCCGCTGCCCTGGACTGGTGCTGCAATTGATGAGAGCTTGTAATTGCCATTTGAATTTGAGCAGTAGGCTGATGCAGTGGGTGCTCGCTTTCCTGGTGATGCTTCTGCCAGCACTGAAAGCAGGAGCACAGGAAGAAGAGACGGAAGCATGTTGTATACTTCTTCCTAAGATATGATTCTAGAAATTCAGTCTTTTTTGGAGGGACCGGGGACATTGTAGATAACCAGTCGTGGGGATGCACTGTCTTTATGCCTCTCACCGAAGACATTATTGTCGATTCATAGAGGGGAAAACAAGCCGAGACGCCTGAAACCCCTAGTCTCGGGCATAAGCTGACGCAAAATACTACAGTATCACCGACTAATGCACGCCACATTTTCCTGACGGATCCCCGGACGGATCCCCGATAGCTTGATTGTCTTGGAGTTTCTGCTCGGAGAAATCGCTCATTCGAGAATAATTAGAGTTGAAGATACTCTTCCCCGCATTCTCGATGGCCTGATAATGACATGATGCCATTTACGGATTTGACTGGATGGTCTAGTTGCTCGGGGTGGAGTTTCCCTGAAACGGCGTGAACCACCATAGCTTTGTAGAAGGGGTGATTCACCGGAATGGGAGAGAGAAAGCCACAACGAGCTGATCTGGGGGTTTAGATTAGCACAGAAGCAAGAAGTAGTGCATAAATTTTGCAAAAGATACCCCTTGCTGTCCGATGCCCAACGAAAGAGAGGATACCCCCGGGGTCAAAGCAGGACAGGGTTATAATAGACTGGATTGTTTTAAGTGAATCCAGTTCTGAAAGCTTGTGCCATTTAGAGTATGACTCGTAATTAAACTAATGAGCTTCGTGGGGGTAGGTTAGGGAAGATCGGCTCTCCCTACAACGTCAAAAACTGCCACATGCCGATGGGTCGGGCCGGACGTTTTGAAACATTTCAAACAATCTGTATGGAATAAGAATCTCGATGAGATCACCTGTGATCATAAAAATGGGGATGTGGGATTTCCCAAAGAAGGCAGAGAAGTTCGAAAACAGGTCAGCTCCAGATGGTATGACGTCAACATGCTGGGAACAGATGTTACTCGACTTTATAACCCCCCGGTCGTACACCGGCGGACTCTTTTTGCTCTTGCAAACTTCTTCTAGTGGAAAAAATTGAAAATTAATTTACACAATGAGCGGCCACAGATTCCCCGTCGATCTCAAGCAGTTCAAGCAGCTTAAGCTTGACCCGAAGACTGCACAGCTATCAGCTCAACAGAAGAGCGATTTGCAACACAACATCAACATTTTCAGAGATGCTATCATTGCCTTCACAGCGACTGGTGCCGCCCGCGGTGTTGCAGGCCACACTGGAGGACCCTTTGATACAGCCCCCGAAGTCTGCATTCTGCTTGCTTTCATCAACGCCAACCCTAGCAAATGGGTCGATGCCCTGTACGACGAGGCCGGCCACCGTGTCGCCACACAATACTTGCTGGCCGCATTGGACGGCAAGATTGAGCCCGATCACCTGCTGAACTATCGTGCCGCCGACTCCCACCTCCCCGGCCACCCCGAGCTCGGCTTCACCCCCGGCGTCAAGTTCAGCTCCGGTCGTCTTGGTCACATGTGGGGTATGGTCAACGGCATTGCCATGGCCAACCGGGATAAGAACGTGATTTTGTTGGGATCCGATGGATCTCAACAAGAAGGAAACGACGCCGAAGCTGCGCGCATTGCTGTTGCCAGAAACTTGAACGTTAAGCTCTTCATCGATAACAACGATGTCACAATTGCCGGACACCCCTCGGAATACCTCCACGGCTATGAAGTTTCTCGCACCCTTGACGGACATGGCCTGAAGGTCATTCGCGCCCAGGGCGAGAATCTCGACTCCCTATACGGTGCCATGTGCGAAGTCATCAACCACGACGGTCCTGCCGCTGTTGTTGTTGACCGCAAGATGGCCTCTGGCATTGAGGGTATTGAGGGACAATGTCACGCGCACGATGTCATTCCCGTCGAAATAGCTCGCAAATACCTCACCAAGCGCGGATACAGTAAGGAACAGCTTGCTTTCTACGACGATATCAAGCCTGGCACAAATCCCCACACGTACAAGGGTTCGACTAAGGACAAGGGTGCGAACCGTACCATTTTCGGCGATGCCGTGAATGAGATTCTTGATAAACTGAGCAAGGAGGAGGCTAAGCGTCGCGTCATGGTCATCGATTCTGATTTGGCAGGCTCCACCGGTCTGAAGGCCATCGGCGCCAAGCACCCGGAGGCCTTCGTTCCATCTGGTGTCATGGAGCGTGGAAACTTCTCCGCTGCCGCCGGTTTCGGATTCGGCAGCAATGGAGAGCGCCAAGGTGTCTTCTCTACCTTCTCTGCCTTCCTGGAGATGTGTATCTCTGAGATCACCATGGCCCGTCTGAACAACTGCACCGTTCTGTCGCACTTCTCTCACAGTGGTGTCGACGAGATGGCCGACAACACCTGTCACTTTGGTCTGAACCACTTCTTCGCCGACAATGGTCTGATGGATGCTGAGAGCACGGCGCTCTACTTCCCCGCCGATGGCGAGCAGATGAAGGCCGTAGTCAGCGAGGTGTTCTGGAACAAGGGCATGCGCTTCATCTTCTCCACTCGTGCCAAGGTCCCTTACATCCTGAAGGAGGGCACCGACCAGAAGCTCTTCGGCGAGGGCTACAAGTTTGTTCCTGGCAAGGAAGAAATTATCCGCAAGGGCTCTGCTGGTTACATCGTCTCGTACGGTGATATGCTCTACCGTTCGCTTGATGCCGTCGAGAACCTGCGCGCAGAGGGCCTCGATGTCGGCCTGATTAACAAGCCCACACTCAACATAGTCGACGAGGAGACCATTAAGGTGTATGGATCCTCACCATTCGTCCTGGTTGTTGAGTCAATTGCGCAGAAGACTGGTCTGGGCTCTCGTCTCGGTACCCACCTCCTTGAGCGCAAGTTCACACCCAAGTTCAAGTCCATGGGTGCTATCAAGGAGGGCTGCGGTGGCCTGTATGAGCAAGTCAATGCTCAGGGCCTTGGACCGAGCGATATCATCGCTGCGGTTAAGGAGGTTTCTGGAAACTAAATGTTAAAAACGTAAAGACTATTTCATGTAATAATAAAAAATTTCATTTATATTTGTCTAGGCCATTTCTGTCGGTACATGTTACTCAATTTCCTTTTGTTATCAAGGCCAAGACGTTCGCGCCCCCAAA